TTATTATTTAAATACTCTTGTGCCGTGCGAGGTTGTTAGGTGGAACGATTTATTAATTTAATGGCCTAACGTTTCGACGCTATCGTCTTCTTCAGAGGCCAGGGTTCCACCGCTCGAGCGGATGTAAATCCGTTAGGCCATTAAATTAATAAATCGTTCCACCTAACAACCTCGCACGGCACAAGAGTATTTAAATAATAACTATTTATTTATACCTCATCTGATCTTGCACTATTACAGGGCATTAAATCGCCAGGAAAGATGAGCTATAAGGATTCGAAGAGCTTCAGAAGCGATCGAGATGAATGGGATACCTTAACGAAGGGGGGATCCGACAGCAGCAAGGTAAACAGTGGAAGGGTCACTCCAGATTCTATATCATCCTCATAAAAATGTTACCCCATGTCATTTAGCCCCCGTTGGACATGAGCTGCTTGAATCAATCGATTCATATCGATTTATTGAGCTCGTGAAATATCAATGAAACAATGAAAAACGAGGAGAAGGACAGGAACACGGGATAAATTCGTTGTTTTTGCAGAAAACACAAGATCCGAGTCTCAAAACCAATATAGATACGTCTCAAAAAGTGAAGACTACGGAAGCTTCAACTGGAGCTGTCAAAAGTGATTTTTCAACTAGGAGTGTAGGTCAGTAAGTGGTGTTTCAGTACCAATAATCAATTGTCAAGAATCATTCCGTTCTGTGGCAACACCATCCACCCCTATTTATCATTTATAACAAGGATTATATTCCAAAAAAGTCTTCACGCCTGAAACGGAGTGTTGAAGGTGTGCGCCAAGAGGCCCCCTGGAGGTCGCCGCATGCGATGACCTAACCTGCGCGCGACCACCTCGTCGGGACTTCTGGCCCACGATGAGCGGGGATCATTAGTCAACTACGATTATGCCCTCGGCTTTTGCCTTTTGTCCTTTTACCACTACACACTGGATATGTAAACTACAAAAATGTTTCAAGGGTATTGAAATTCTCTCATTATGGGTCAAAAGTAGCTATCCTTTCCAGATCAAAGCACAAAAAGCCAGAAACAGTGAGTTTTTTTGAGTTGTCAGAGCTATTCTTTCAAAAGCTCTCTCTCGCAACTATTTTCAGGTCGCTTGACCAATCCAAAACTTTTGAAGAAACCAAGTGATCGATTTGGCCCTAAGTATGTGCTATAACATGTAGCGAGTAGATATGTTACTGTGTCTCACCCGATACCAACATTTTACGTTTCTCTCATTTCAGTGACCACTGCAATGTTATTCTCAAAAATGAAAAATCTAGTGACATACATTTTCGCTGTATAGGACTTATTGAAATAAATGCTATTTTTGGATGAGCATGGGATTTGTCAAAACTTTCACTTTAGATGAGAGCTTTGAAAGGGATCATAAAGAGAGATAATTGGTCATAATTGGTGATACTTTGTAGTTAATCGAAGAATTGAAGTTTTTCGGGTTGTAAGGGCTAAAAGTAAAGTTTTCTCGAAGTGCTTCTCGCCATAAATTAGTCATGAGCCCTGATCAATAGTCTCTTGGCAAAGAGTTTATTTTCCGATTCATAAGAACACCTCATCAAAGTAAGATCGCATCGAAGCGGACCCGTCTTCATTGCGATCTTGACGCCTGTTTAAATAAAACTTTTGAAAAAAAAAA